GTCTAAATGCACAGTTTCCATATGCGCAATTTCGGTGCCCCAAAAAATTTGCTATTATTATGGGAAGTCTCCTAAAGAGAAACAGAGTTTTCCGAACGAAAAATATTGATTTTCAAGAATTCTATACAATTTCTACGAAAAAACTTCATGGGCTTTGTTCAGTTCTAAATATAAATAATTGTTCTCTTTTTAACAAAAAATACGAGATCTCCTTTTTTTCCATTAAGAGAAATTCTAGGGTTGAAAGCTTAACATTTTAAACTTTTTTGTTTACCACCCTAATGTACAAAAATAAAATTTTGCAACAAACAGGCACTTTTGATTACTTCTAAAATTTTCATTTCTTTCTCTAAATTTTTTTTTTATATATTTTTAGCCAAATATATACTACATAAGTATCTTTATACATACATACACGCATACATATAAAAGTTTGACGATGCTTGCATAATTAAGAAAAATATATGTGCAAAAAGCCATTTTATTTGCTAAATGCAAATATTCACCAAATTCTAATGTAAATATTGTATTTTATTAGCTTCTGCAGCTGAACGCAAATCGTTTGTATATAAATTTTTGTTTTCATACGCTTGTTTGCAATTATAAATATAATGGATTAAGAGATTTTTTCTTCATGCGACTACACATCAGTAGTCTAATAACCAACCATTTTACTCTAAACTCATACGTTACGTAATAAGAAAATATGTAGATAAGTAGATACGTACGAAAGCATACATTTCTACATATTTCGATTTTTTTATTGCCGAACCCGCATTTTCACTCGGATCTTAAACCGAGAACGTTGTTTTTTTTGTACCAAAGTTCATTGACCTCAAGTACCCCCCGTTCCAGTACTTACATACCGACCAGTTCCTATCGCCCTAAGGTACATACACCATAATTTCAGTAAATTGAAGCTCGCTAAAAGTTATTAAACTTTTGCCAAGGAGGTATTTTGTTTATTATTCCAGTAAAACGATTAAATTTTTTTTTTGTCGAATGTACATATGTATGTATGTAATTTTTCAATTGCCTTGCAAAAATACTGTAGACTCAGGGACGTACGGAATTTTTTTTTTGTTTGCTTGTAAGATGGTACGGTCTAATGTACAAGTACATATGCAAATAAATTTGAAATAATTCGAGAAAAATCTTGCAAAATAGAAAATTCCTAACAACCGCATACGCTGATGCTGTTGCTGATCGGCAATGTTTATTAAATTATTTATTTGACTTTTTGTGTGTGTGTGTGGTTTTCGACTTATCGGCGACGACGAGCATGAGTCAATTTCCAAAAATATACACCTACATGCAGGCATACTTTTGGTGAGGAGCAGGGTAGGGAGCTAGCAAATCACATTTGTAGTGAAATTTGAATTGACGAACAAAAAAAAACAGAAATACGCAAACACTTGAGATTCATCCGAAATAAAGCAGAGATAAATAAAGTAGGTGGAAAAACAGATGCTACAAATCCTACAAATTAATTTTTGACGAACTGTCAGCGCTGCTGGCGACGTGATCACTAAAAAATTTGCCAAAAATATACACACATGTACATACATGCATTAGGGTGCCTCACTAAATAAGTCGCGGGGCTTTATTATTTAAGACTTGCGCCAAAATACTACGAAAAAATATTTAGATTTTCGGGAGCTGCACCGATATGGATTGCCCCTCCAAAAATCGAGTTTCATATGAATTAAATTCATTTTTTTAAATATTTTTGTATGAAGACCATTTAAGCTTAAAGATTCATATCAACCATGATAAAAACATAGCAAGGTAGAACCGTTCTCTCATTTTGTCGGCCATGATTTTTTTTTGAAGTTTGCCAGCATTTTAAAATCATATAAAATTGAAAATAAAAAATTGAAATTGTTATAAATTGTTGTTGCTTGAGATTGAAAATGAAAATGTGTGTGTGAGTTTGTGAGTATATTTAAAAATTAAAATGTTTGGAAACGTCAAGAATTTTAAAAGTAACTCTCAGCGGTTCTACCTTACTATATTTTTATCATGATATCAACTGAAATGATTATTTTTAAAAACTAATTTTATCTATATATAAAAAACGCTAATTTTTGGAGGTATTTCCAAATCGATACAGCTCACGTTCGTTAATCTTGATATTTTTCCTAAATATTTTGGCGGAAATCTTAAAATATAATATATTTTATAACTCCGATGGAAAAAAGTATCGATGTTTTGTATGGAGAGTGAGGCAGCCTAATGTAAATACATACACACGGACTATATTTCTCTTTTTTAATTAAATTTTTTTTAGTTTTGTAAGGTTTATTTTTCGAAATGCTAATACTTTTTCAAAACCATACATTTTTGCTATGCGGCTTTTGGCTTGGCACTTGGTTTATTGCCTGATTAAATGCGAGTTGTATTCCGCATATCGCCGTCATCAATGCAAAAATTTTAAATTTTACAAAAGTAAAATTCTTTTTAAATTATTTTTAAATATACATAAGAAATGCTGCGGAAACAAAAAGAGCTGCTCCAAAGTTGCTAATAAATCTAGATTTTTTTAAGAAATGGTTCTGATGATGACGATATGTATGTATGTATTTTTGTGGGACATGGTTAGCAGCGAGGTTGTGTTTTTGTTAATTATATGTGCGATCATTTTGTGTTATTTCCCTGCAGGGAAACCGCGGACTAGTGAATCAAATTTCTAGTTCTGTACTAGATCTTTATCGCCAAAAAGGAACTATTCCGATAGGAACTAGATCCCCACCAGTCAAAAATCGGCGAAAAGTGGTACTTTTAAAAATCTAATTTTTTTCAGTGTTTTCACTAGAAATCTATATCTAAAGTGACGAATTTAGAAATGGTTCGGAACTATAGAAAAAGGGATGCAGAACGAACTAGATCCTATTTGTCGAATTTAGAACTATTTCGGAACTATCGAATAAGGGATGCAGCGGGGGGCTTGTTTACTTTACATAGATATGTGTTCGGCGACTTTTTCGTTCAAATACGCTTCTATTCTGTGCTTCGCAGATGCTTTTTCATAGCTTGGTAATACAAAACTAAAATTTGTGTTAACATTTCAACATCTTGGGACCGTCTGGAATCTAAGAAATAACAGCGAGCACCTCTGCAAACTCAGCTACAGCTAAAGGTATGTAAACGTACATTTCTTACAATCATTCAAACAAATTTAATTTCAAATTGAAAACACATTTCGTCCAAAATAGCTTAAAATCGCGCCACGGATGAACCAAAAAGATTGAAAAATCATGATACTTTTTTCTTTCGTCTGTCGATTTTCGAACTGGTTTGGAACTATAGAATTTAGGTCTAGTTCGGAACTATCGAAAAAGGGATGCAGCCGGGGGCAATTGACACTTCCTAGGACATCGCCATGTTAAATTCGCCAGTTGCTTGCATGCAAAAGAGATTTATCGCGAACCAGTACTGTGTCTAAATGTACTAGAAGCGCCCCAGTTCAGAACTAGAGATTTTCCCCACAGGGTTTATGTTCTTTGTTTTGTGTGTGTGTGGGTGTGTGTGTGTGTGTGTGTGTGTGTGTATGTATTTCCAATCCAATGGCACTTACCATCAATTTCTGATCCACAGTCTTGACAACGATTTCTTCGGGGGCGTATTGGCTCACATCGAAACGCAATTTCAGCATTTTGTTATCGCCATCCTCCTACGAAAATAAAAACAAAACACAAAAATAGTCAAATTTAGTAAGATACATTTACATATATACATATATACATATATACATACATACATATGTATTTTAGAATAATAACAATTGAAAAAAAATTTTGTCAAAATTCCTACTTTATTAATGAGCACACACACTGCATGAGTAGGAGTAAAAGCTTGTTGACGCTACTAAGAAAAAACCACAATGGATCACGTCATTGTACAATTAAGCCACAAAAAAAGACATGCCAAAAATTATTGTTATATTTTTATTTGTTGTTGTGTAAGCAGATGCTTTTTACTATCGACAAAAAAAAATTATTTGATAGTGAGCAAATGAACTAGACCTTAGAAAAATTTATTCGACATTCAAAATTGTTTAAATGATGAATGAAAACTTATTCTTAATTTTTTTCATTCAATTATTCATTTTCCTGACTACGCCCATCTCTAGTACATACATCCCACATATATAGTGTTCTTGAATTTAATTGGCCTACATCAACTACATGGAACTTAATTTTTTGTCACTGCCTAGGCTACAAGCTGAATATTTCGCGCAAAAAATCTTTCATTTTAAAAATAAGACACTGCTAAGCATCGAATCCGCACATACAATTTTGTTTTTAGAATAAAAAGACATAACATCTTTTTAACACAGTTTTACTTACAACAAAAAAATATAAAAATATAAAAACTTGAAAAATTATCGCAAAAATGTATATACACACACAATATACATATGTATATCATTCATGATTTTTTGAGTGAATTGGTATAATTTTTTATATTTTCTCTAAATTCAAGCTAGAATTGTTTCACTAAAAAAAAGCTTAAAAAATAGTTATAAAAACCTGTTTGTTAAAACTGGACTTTTATATACATATTTGCTGGGCCTCGAGCTGCATAAATAAAAATTATCATAGTTTAATTATAAAAACCTTAAAACAAATTGAGACAAGATTGATGGACTGAAATATGGCGAGAGTACCAGTTTGCCATAATCAAAGATGATAGAAAATAAGGACGCTGTCTATTTTTATAGCTCCCTTATATTTTATGTGCTTTGTGATAATGACTGTGCTGCCACGTTTGTCCGAAAAATGGGTTTTTAGCCAGAGTAGAGAGAGACTATTGTTAAATTAATAAAGAAAACACTGAAAATCGGTACTTAATCGGTGAAAATATGAAAAATTGATACAGTTATATGTCCCGACTTTTAAAAATTATTCTTAGAGAATCCCTTTAGCCAACATAATGATGAAAAAAGCCCTATCTACAATTTTTTTTTTAATTTTGGCCACACTTTTGCATTTCGGCCCCACTGCGTGCCGTGTAGAAAAACGGGCGTTATTGGAAAAGGGGCGGGGTATTTAATTTTAGGCAGGGCGACGTATACCGGGTCTGCTAGTGCATTATAAAGCTTATAAAATTGTGTCTATAAAATTCTATGAAAAGCAAAATATTGTGACTTTTTTCAAACGTTGCGTTTTGACTATATTAAAAAAAAATATTACTAAAAAACAAAAACAAAAATAATTTGCATTGTTGAATAATTAATTTTGTATTTATTTGTACAAATCAAAACAATGTAAACATTTAGAAATTAATTACCGCACTCAACCGCGTTCCAAGCGTGTAATATTGTTTCGTTAGAAAATCCTTTAAGTATTTGCATCACATTGAAAAGGAGTAAGAGTAATAATAATGAGGATGTTAAAACTATTTCAATAGATACATATGTATGTAGACTAACTTGAATTAATTAAAATACTTGTATCATTAAAAATGAAACTGTTAAATATTATAATACTTAAATATTTATTTGTTTTCAATATAAACTTTGAATGAGCAAAATTTTTGTTTGTTACGCGAACTTTTTAGGCACAGTGATTGCTTCCAATTGGCAATATTATTTAAATATTTATTGCAAATTAATTCCAGTTTATTGCGGTATTACAATTTAGGTAAATAATTTTTCTAAAATTTTATTAGAACTGTAAAACCAAATTAGTAACAAAATAAGATTCTATAGAAATATAATTTTTAAGCTGCAAGAATTAATTTTTTTATTAGGCTTTACCCAAATTGCTTTTTTCGAGATTTATCCACGCCTCCTACAGTATGTGTGTGTTTAATTCTTTATACAGCTTATGCTGATGTTATAGAATAAAAAATAAAAATAATAAAATCTTACCTGAATGAGTGGTGAACTAATGTCAGAGATGTAGTTCTGTCTGGGTGCTGGACGGGAGAGTGAGTTTGGTGCGCTGTAAGAAAATTATGAGAAAAAGATTTAATACCATGCGGAAATAAATAAATACTCTAACATACATTTATAATCACATTTACGAGTATAAATCACAAAAAATAAAATTATCAAAAGTTTTACACAGAGTTGCTAGTTACCTACTACATGTATCTTACTGTGGGAAAAATATATGTATTTAAAATGGATAGTGGAATGTGTAAAATGTTTGAATTAGTTGCGACATGCAGCGTGAAAACTGGTTGCAAAAATTGTTTGTAAAAAGTAAATCATATTTGTGTTGCATATATTTTATCAAGATCATAAAAAAAAAAAAAAATAATACATATTTACTATATTTTTTCACTGGTTAGCCGATTAAAAATCCAAGATTTCTACAGTTAATGATTTTTATGCATTTTTTTTATTTACTCATTATTTACCTAGTGGTATGTGTGCGTGTATGTGTTTCATAGGTGCGCGTATAGGAATGCATAGCGAATCACAAATGTCTTTAAATTAAATTGTGAAACTAAATTTACAAATCTAATTTTGAAACTATGTATGCATTAAAAAAAGTCTTTATAAAAATAGACGAAAATAAAAATACAAAACACTCCACCACACTTCATTCACTTTCAAATACTGAAAGCCAATTCTCTAATTTCCCCACCATTTATACATAGTTCAGCTCGAATTTGTTGCTTACATTTTATTTATTATCGCTTTAAATGTAAACAAAAACGATATTCACCGAAGAAAACACCCCCAAATGAGCGTCGACTTTTTGTCCCTAAATTGACGCTTGCCACTTCCGTTTCCGGCAGCACGTGTAATGCGTGGCTTTACAGCACGTACTATAATGCACCGTTTGTTTTAACTACATATGTACATATGTATATATGTAAATATGTATGCATTTAGTTCTATTTCTTTCTAGACCAAGTGACAGTGACATTTAACGACGGGCGATATGGTTCAATGAGCCGCTTTGATGAAAAACACATGCGCCCTGCAAACATTAACAGCATCATCGTGAAATGAGAATTACTTAAACAACTACAAAGCAAATGCAATGATGCAAGCAGCTGTAGCCAATCGAAAGGGGAGTAAAGTACAAACAAAAGTGCCCTGCAAGAAAAATGTTGAAACGAACGTCAAATGCATGCAGTATAGTATAGTAATATTACCTGTGTACAGCCCTAAGTCTAAAGTGTTTTTGCAAGGCAATTTCGAAAAGGAAATTCTTTTGCCGATAGTAAAGAATGGACACGAAAAATTTTGGTCAGCCGAAAATCATTACAACAACATATTGCACAACCTACGAAAAGTTATTTCTGTTTTATCATCTTCTTTATTAAGCTTACTATATTAAACAAAAAAAAAAAAACGTATTTCAATTATCTTCATTATAAACAAAATGGCGCTATTTACATTTGAGCCCTCTCATTAGGATATGGGCAGCCGTTATTGTGACGGGGTCTGCCGCTCTCTGCCAATTAGTTTAAAAAGTCTGATCATTTTTGATGTCTTTCTTTCGTTTTTAGCAATCTTCTTTCAATAATTTTCACCGGGTCGCAATTGTGAACAGTTTGGTGGGTTGTGGTCCTTTTGAACGATATTTACCCCGTGACTGACATACCAGTTCATGGCAAGAGGGGTGTAATGGCACAATGCTAAATCGGGACAGAACAGACCTCCCCCTTTATGTTGCTTTATGAACGGCAGCAAACGATATTGCAAACACTCCTGCATATAAATTTCTTGATTTATGGATCCCGTGGTAATGATTTTTTTGCTCTCATGCTACACAGGCAGGTGGCTTGCCACACCAAGTATTTATAAGGGCAAAAAAAATAACAAAAAACAAGGAACTTGTCCAACATTTTCAGCTTGAAGGCATCTTAGACTCAATTTGTCTTCGTTGCATTGTAAAACTCAGCACCCCGAATCTGCTTAAAGGCTGATTCGAGGTATGTTTCCTCGTCCACGCACACTTTTTCTAGCTTTTGCACAAAATTTTCTCCGAAAGCTCACACTTCGCCGCACACATTTTGAAGAGTACGTAGAAGTTCAATTATAAACGAGGGCCGGTAAGTTACGTTAAGTTAAGTTAAGCTGCCATAATCAGGCTTTTACTCTACACCTGATTTTGCAGTATTGATGTCATTGCGAATGAGGTAAACTCTCTATCCCCCTGGGTTATTTTCGATTTTACCAGATACATATTATATGTATGTACATATGTACATTCATAATATGCCAATGATTGTCCTGTAGGGCATGCATGTTTACTCTGCATCTCCCATGGGAGCGCGGACTAAAGAGCGAAATACACAACACAAGCGGCTTGACAAACCAAGCGAAATATCCCTTTGTTTCAATCCATTTGTGTTGTCTATGGGGGTGTTTGAAGGTTTGACAAACCGCTTGAGGGAAATTTGAGCAAAAATCAAAATTTTTTGATTTTCAGGCCGCCATGTTGACGTTTGATCAAACCGCTTGCGATGTGGATGGTAAAATCGCCTCATTTGTTGCTGAATTTTCACCAAGTGAGGACGTAAGGGAGAAAAATGGAAGAAAACCAACATTTTTAACATTGTGAACCGGAGGAGAACTAAAATTCTGTGCTTGAATGACTCATGTTTGCATGGTGTATGGCGAAATGGGAAAAGTAGGTTTGACAAGCCGCTTATGTGGTGTATTTCGCTCTTAAGTATGCAACTTATAGCCAAACATATTAATCGACGCCTTATTGGCACCACAATTTGTTTACCTCAGATATAAAAGGAAAAAAAAGCATATCGCTTATTTACTAAAAGACTGACATGACTCAGAAAATGCAAATTTTGAGAATATGATGCAGGGTTACTTGTTTTATAACTTGCTTCATATTTTGTAAAAATTTCACACAAAAATCTTGTATAGTTTTCTTACGAAAAAATTATATTTCATCACTATTTTACGCATTTTGAGAATAAATTGGAAACTTGCAACACCTCATCTGAAATATTGCGTATTTTGAGTTGTGACGGTCTTTTAGGAACATATTATGTACATATGTATGCATGTGTATGTAATAGGAAGGATGTGGATGCTTAATTTTTGTTTTCAGTGCTCATCTTTATTTTACCTTGCCCCATCTGCTCAACATTTGTTGCATGCAGGCGCGACGAGTCATGCACTCCCATGCAAACGCATAGGTGCCAAAAATAGCGCATAAATAAGTACGTTTACATTTTAGTGTAGTGTTAGCCCCCCAAGGCATTGGCGCTTAGTAATTCGAAAAAAAAATTATGGAAAGGAAAAGCCGATAGTGAAGGTTAGGGAGAATATTTTATCGTTCGAATTTTCGAATTTTTTAAAGAAACTAACTTTGGCATGATTCCATGAAAGTATTTATTTATCAAACGCTAGCTCAGAATTTTAAAGCACTCCGAAAAGGAAATGGTGAAAAATTAGAAAAAAGCCTCTGCGATGTTTTGACTTAACATCGGATTAAAAACAAAAACATCGACAAACATCGATGTTTGAAGCCACGACCATCGATGTTCCGCGATACATCGATGTTTTTTTACATACCTAAGTAGTGCATTCAACGCTCATAGCGCAGCAGTTATTGTCGCGCAGATTAAAAGCTTTATTTACCAGTCACATAAATTTATTTTATAAATATTATTATAATGTTTTTCGACAGCTGTTGCTAAGGATTTGCTTGCTTGCGGTGAAACGTGAAATTAAAATTTTTTCACTATTATTAGAATAAATTAATGACAATTTGTTTTACAAAATAAGCCAACACAATAAACAAGAAAATATGGTTGGTTGTCATAGTTAGAGAATAATGCAGAATGCAATTGATGATACGTGATAGATATAATTTAGAAAAATTTTAAAATGAAATTTTGCAAACGATGTTCGAAAAACTGGGTCATATTGTGTGAGATTTTATATAGTATGCAAAAAAATGCAATTGCTTCTACAGTCGAAAAATTTAATTTTAAAATAGATATGTATGTGTAAATTTTTTATTGCACAAACTAGTCCAACGATTTGACACTTAGTGAGCCTCTCCGAACTAGTCTAGATGATGGTAAGTATTATTGTTTTTGCACAAATCGAAAATGCGCTTGATTTTAGACCTCCATTTCAGCTTCTGCAAAGCATTGTAGGTGGTTGGATCAGTTTTTGTGGCAAAAAGTCGTTTTTTGTACTTACAAAAATTAAAATTTTAATCCTTGGTATTTGATAAAGAAAACTTCAAACCAAATAACGTTGTCTTTTGTTTTTGTAAAAAACAAACGGCAACTGCTTAGCTGGTGGTCAAAGTCGTTTTTTTGTGTGGGAAATATTGCAATCGATTTTGTGTTCTGTTTTTAGCTTTTTTGCGAACAGCCGCGTTAAAGTTAATAACTATATAAAAAATTAACGAAAGTATATAGTAGAAAATAAGGAAAAAAGTAAGATCCTTACGATCTATAACTGGTAATGTTTAAAAATACATACACTCCCTCACAATAGTATTGGCACAGAAAATTTCTCGTAATGTATGTGAAGTGTTTATTCTGATTTCTTTTCGCTCTCTTTTTCATATAAATATAGTTCATACTACAACAAAAAACATAAAATTAAAATCTCAGAACTTTGTGGAAAATTCACGAAAATTTAATAAAGTTACGTCCTAATTTGCAACTTTAATATCAGATTTTTTAGAAAAATTCTAAGTATGCAGTTTTATAGCCCATTTAAATTTAGTATAACAAAGTGCAAGTTCGAAGTTTCTAAAAAATCGCATTAATTTTTGACAATTTTTTCACACACTTTCTTCCATACAATAAAACAAATTTTCAAACATACTTTGTACGAAAGAAACTGCATGAAAAAAATGTTTGGTCATAATCACACATATTTGCCACAAAAATTAGTCAAATTACCCATAGTGCATTACCCATTTATAGTAAAGCAGTTTTTTTGTTTGAGTTTTTCGGTTTTGAATTCTGACTTTTGATACGGGGTCAGCTATCAAAAGTATATAACTAGTCTCCAGATATAAAATACGTACCTAAGACCCACATAAAACCAGTGTTTTGTTAGGAATGAGCAAAGTTACAATGATGACAAACCACTCCAACCAACCAACCAACAAATGGCCTAACTAATTGTTGAAAGCATAACTCCGCTATATAAACAAATAAAAAATAATTGTTCGTCGAACGAAACTAGTCATTATGGAGCAATACATTTCGGGTTGCTTATTCTGAATCGGATTTCAAAAGTTGGCTTCATTTTTCTCTCTTACCTAAAATAGAAGATTTTTTCGATCTTTGAAATAAAAAACGAACCTTCTGGGGGTCTACTCTCTATTGCGATTCGAAAAGCAAATCAATTCGGATTCGAATACTGGGCCTATGAATTTGTATTAGCCCGTGTCGCCTTTCAATTCGCATTGAGTTTCGAATCGCTCAGTCCTAACTCTTTTAGGAAATCCAATGGTGCTTAATGGCCTGAAATATTTCTCCCGTCTTTTTCTCACTGGATCAGCTGCATTGTCACAGAAATGAGATCCCGAGTTTTCGTAGGCGACTTCTTAACCTGCATTGAGCTCTCAAGATACCTGTTACAATTGTTAATTTATTCTTTGGAATCTCCTCAATAGGTTTTTTGCCTGGCGTTGCCTATAGACTTGGTTCCAATGCTGTTCTCTAGTTGTTCTCTCTTCCCTCCAAAGCTCTTCTCTGATGGTATGAGATCCTATTGCAAACGGGGGCTATGCATCAATTTGTTATAGATTCTGAATCTTTGAATGTGAATCTGAAGTTAGTATTCAAAATTTGTAGAAAGGTAGATCTAAGTTTTTTTTCGAATTGAATTTTTTTTTATATACACTGTCTTTATTTATTTTTACTGCAGTGTTCAGATCGATACGAAATTTTTTTACTCGATTCGAATTCATTCATTTGACACGCCATCACTAATTCGAAAATTTAGCGCCGAGCGTGACTCACTGAAATATATTTTTCATATTATCTGTCTGCCAACATTCTGGCAAATTGTTTAGCATTTGTGCTGCTTGAATTTCATTAGGATAGTTTTTACTTAGCTAACATTTTTGCTTTGTACCCATTAAATTTAATTTAATTCTTTTAGGTTTTATTTTTTTTTATTTTGGAAATTAATATGTATTTGCTGTTTTGACAGGTTTTAGCCATTTTCTTTCGTTCATTTCACTTTCTTTTTTCCTTTCACGTAGTGTATGTACATATGTATGCACGGCAAACAATAAACAATTTGGCAAAATGAAATTTGGCAACTGTGCCAAATTCTTACTCATTGTACTCATACTGGCTCATACAGCTCCTTTTGCTATTGTACCGTAGATAAAAAAAATGTCTACATACTCATTTTTAAAAAATGTGAACTTAAAGAAAATTGGTCTTTCTAAAAGTTACAAATCATCGACTAGCTTTGCAGAACGTGCAAATTAAAACTGATTACATATAAAAAAAAAACATAAGTAAAAATTTACAAAACTAAAATTAAAAGTTCAAAGTCCCCATTATAAAGTTGTATTTAAATTTTCATTCAAATATTTTTAGCTCTTTGAAAACCAGAAAATGTATGAATATTAATGCTTAAAATATTAAAAAAAATGTGCACATGTGTTTGTATTTAAGCAAAGTGTATAAATGTGTGCGGGGTGTGTGTCATCAAACACTAAATAAATTATTTGCATAACAGCAAAGGTGTTCGCGACATCATTTTCATTGCCAGTTCGCTTCTAGCGAAATTCCACAGCATTTAACTGACACGTCCCCTACCTGACAATTTAAGTATCGAAATTAGTTATGGCATATATTTTTGAACGTGCAAGAAAATAAAAAATATTATACTTAGCTACAAAAGTGTTAGTTTCTTAAAATTAGACACTTAAAAAACCGCATGCAAATTGTGATTTTACTATAGAAAAATTATAACAAACAGAAACTTCTATTATTTTTATAGCGAAAATATTTTTGTTTCGTATGTACCTGCTGCTGCTGGTTGTAGTCGTTGTCTTTTTAGTAGAACTATTTTTTATAGTTTTTAGTTTTTTTTTTTTCATTTCGTCGAATGAAAAGAAGCATTAATAAGCAAATATTGAAAACAGTTTATATAGCATGAAATACGTTTTTGTAGAATAAAGCATACATATATTTTAAATATGTAAATATGTAGTGGTTCCATTATTGTTTATTTTGTAAGCATGTAGAAAGAGCAGAGAGGAAGAAAGAAAATATTAGTTAGTATGATAAATATACATAATTTTCTAAATTTACAAAAATTCGTATATAAAATACTATATTTTCGTCGACTTTTTCACATACAGAACTTTACCTATTTTTTTATTTTTACAATCTTTAAAAGTAAAAATTTGTTTTCGATTTTCGTCGTCTATTCTCTATTAGTGTAACACCTTTGTAGTGGCACGCGTGCTACAATTTAAGAAACGCTGATCTAAAATTTATATAAAATTTTAACCAACCATTTTTTCAAATGAAGGCACTTCGTTATCGGCTACTTTAACGTTTTCAATCACTTCAGAGAATTATGAAATATTTTGACAATGACAGTTTTATTTTCCTTTATCAGTTTTGGTTTTGAAACAGAGCCGGTTTAGGCGTTGTGCCATCGTCAGTGTCATTGTTCCTTCTCGCGAAACGAAAACTGCGCCGAAAAACCGGAACCGTTTAGTCTCCAAACCAAAACTGGCAAGGGATGACGGTAATACAGTGGCTCATACTCAAAATCATGCAGTGATATTTTTAAAATTTTCGCAATATTTTTTTATTCTGAAATCTTTTTCGTAAATTTTTTATGATCCAAATTGCAAATTTTGTGCAAATATTAGAGCAAATCAACTCCAAAGTTAAGCGGTAACATACATAAAAAAAAATATTGCGACAAATGATAACCTTTCTCCTTTTTGTGGAGTCGGTTAAAAATTTGCTTTATTTATGTATATACGCATATGCATGCCTGCATACGTCTGTATGTAAAGCGAGGCAAATGAATCTGAGCAAAAAAATGCTTAATTTAATCAGAACAAATTTTCGTTGCTGGCAGTGACAGACAGTGGGCAGCTTCTATCGTGAACTTTGTAAACATAATTAACGCCTAACTGGTTTTCAGTACTTCCACTATGAGGATGTAATGATTTTACTGCGTGATAAAACACCTTAAGCTAAACACAGCTAAGTACATATCATTTAAGACAATATGTATATAATTACATACGCTCACAGAGTGAGTTAACTTAAAAATAGAGATCTTTAGCAAGACAAATAACATCATGAAAAAAAAATGTTTTTATTTCAGGAAAACGAACGAGTGTATGTTTATTTATAAGCAAGATATCTCTTTACCTTACGCTGGCTGAGCAAACAAGTGAACTTTAGCAAATTTTAATGTGGCATATTAAAAGCATAAATGTGTAATAAAAAAAGTCATAAGAAGTGGTATATTAAATTATGTAGGATTTTTTTTTAGCAGGAAAACAAAAATAAGTCGTACATACAAGTTAAGCTGTTTTTTTTGGACGAGACATTAAATTGTCAGCCATGGCGTTTTCGTTTCTACAAAAAAAAATTGCCTTTTCATTGTCCGGTTCTTAGCGTTTGTGCTGAGAGGGCAATTAAAAGCTAAAATTTTTTCGGTAGAAACGAAATCGCCATTAAACTTCGCAAGAGGTAAGATTCTATCGTCTAGAAATATGGAGAAGCTAGGCTCCCACTAGCCCTCTACCCCAGAAATGATAAGAAGCAAATAATTATATTTGAGAGGTAGTTCAAAATGAAGCTTTGCACCATCCCAACTTGGAGCAACTCTATACAGGCCAGCACTGTGCAATGGTACTCAGACGGCTCGAAAATACCAGAAGGCAACGGGATAGGCATTTACGGGCCCCGGGAAAATTTCCTAGCATCTTCCAAGCGGAAATATAGCCCTCAATCGGTGTGCAAAGATAAAGTTACAGAAAGGCTACAGTAATGAGGGAATCCTGATCGACTTAGCGACAGCCAGGTAGCATTATTGTCCTTCGAGATTGAATCCTCCCTAGTCCTTGATTGCATAGAGAACCCCATTGCCCTTGCTGAATTTAGCAACATCCAGCTTCTGTGGGTGCCAGGTCTAAAAGGAATAACGGAAGGCTTAGCTGAAATATCGTCGGTCTCAGCTCCGATCTCGCCCTAGCCATTCCTTGCAGTAGGCGTAAAAACAATTAGGGAAGAGCTTGCGAAAGGTACAATAATAACAAAAATGTAAGAAAGAAGATGCAAAACATCTAATTAAGCTCCCAAAACATAAACTTAGAATCGTTACAGGCATCCATACTAGGCACTGCAGGCTAAGAAGACATCTATATAAACTGGGAATCTAGCCGAATGACCTCCGTCGTTTCTGTGACGCAACTGTGGAGACTACATTGCATCTGCTCCTTGAATGTGATGCTGTATCGAGGTGACGACTAAGCAGCATACACTCCCTACCTACAAAAGCTATTCTGAACTTTCTGGAATCAAAAGGACTACAAGATGTGTTGTGATGAGGGGAGGGCACATACCACTTTGTTAATTGTCTATCTACAAATAAAATTCAAAAAATCATTATTAAGTACTGGAGAACATTTTAATTTATTAATACTTAGTTTAAAACTTTGTTGTGGTTAACAAAGAAGAAATAACAAATCAATTAGCAGCAAAAACCACTAATCGCTCAAAAAGGCGAAAAGAGGTCAAAGCTGCTATGAGTATAAGAATGATATATGTATGTACTTATAGAAAGTGCCGTTGCTTGTCAAAAGTCAAAAGAATAAATCTTAAATACAAATCGCACGACAAATCAAAAAGAGACTGTTAAGTTATTTAAACACACTTCAACTAGTTAAACCGCTTTGAAAAGAGTTGTTAATAATAACTTCCGCCAGTCTTCGAGCAAAGACTCTTAATTTGATTTCTAGTTATGTCTCCATAAAAAAGAAAAATACTACTATGTAGGAAAAAGCGACATACCAAAGGCAATTCAAATATGTACCATTGCTATACATACAGTAAGCATAAATACAAAAAAAAAAATCAACATAAAAACGAAAAACTATAAACTTGCCGCTAGCCAGTTTACACGAACTAATATTTGGCGTAGGAGTAGACAAGCATTCCTTTCTAATCAAAGATGCAACAGTTGTGCAAAATAAAAGCATGAAAACCGCACCAATAACGGTGAACGTTAGTTACAGATGTGTCTGTTGAATTAAAATGGCAACGGCGCTGACATACTTTCATGCTTATTACGGTAATTTTTTTTTTCCTTTAGTTCTACGACTCAGTTAATTTGTTACTTCTGCAATGATTTCTGACTTTTACCTAAATACATATGTACGTATTTAGTCGTTGGGAGAAATTTTTTTAGTGGCTTTCATTCGTTTAATATTTGCAGGACGATAAGACAATCTCTTCCGCCGCAAAAATCTATGTGCAATGCAAGTAGGTATGTACTTAAGTATATATGTATGTGAATGTCGAAAGGGAATCGTCATTAAATTACAAGCACGATAGAAAGGGCGATAGCGTGAAAATATTTCGCATTGTATGGATGTGCGATTGATTTTGACTAATTTTGTTAAGCTCAGATGATGGAATTTGGAATGTAAGTTAGTCAGAATGAAGTTTTGGGATGTTATTCACATTTTTATAAAGCTTTCATGACAAAGTAATGTAAAAGTAAAGCAAGTCAGAGAAAAATGTAGCATTATTCAAAAACTTTTATGCAAACATTTTCTATATCTCTGTGAAGAAAATTTTGCGACATAAATTGTTCATAAAATTCCGATTTCACATTATGAAGTGGTCCGTAAGAGTATTCATAGGGAAGGACATTTTTTTTATGTTTAAACTCAAGCGCAAGGATATGGGTTTCCTTTTATAGAAATAGCAGGTAATCCTGAAAGTTTCGCAATACGAAAAGTTATTCCAGCGTTCCTTGGCTACTAAAATGTTGTGATCTCTAACGGACAGTTTGGAAATCACTATTGCTTTATCTACCGTGCCCTGTCCCGGAAGGTTGTGGGTGGTCGTACCTTTCAGATATAAAAATATTTTAGCTGAATGAAGCGCTGATTGCCACAAAAGCTTGGTGTATTCGGTTATATGTAGAGACATACATATCGTTACCTTAATTCACAAAGGCTCTAACCAACATTTTTTTCGAAACAGTGTTTTTCACAGATTTTAGTAGAATATATTAAAATAAACCTTCACTAAAAACTTGAAAGTGTTGGTACCAAAAACAACGAAGTTATGCCACTTTTTATAATGCCCTATCCGTATGCATAATTTGATTTCACCGGTCAACAAACAATTTTTTTTTTTTTGGGTTTCTGTTCTCATGCTTAAATTCTCATTCCAAACATTAAGAAACACTTTTATTTTCATTTTTAGTTGTTAAAGATTGCTTTTTTTTGATTTACGCCGATAAGTATAAGAAATGCGAAAAATACTCACTTTTATACATTAATTTCTTGTTATTTTACATTTCTACCTTATTGTTTATCACAAATTTTAAATAAAAAGGACTCTTATATCTAATCGTAATTTTAAGTAAAATTATAAAAAAAATATAAAAATTAGGGATTTTTCCAGAAAAAATGAAAACTGGCTCTAGTTATAGCAAAAGCAAACTTTGATCAAAAAAAAAATTTTCCGTCATTTTTAGCGTGGGAGAAACTAAAATTTCACATGTAGAAGTCAGACTCAAAAATCGTGTTGACTGGTGTTTTTATGTTTTTTGCTTCTCCTGTAAAAAAAATGCTGGTTAGTGCCTTTGTGAATTAAGATGATGTACAGTTCTGCACATAAAATATATTTTTTTGTTGTGTTTGGTAACTTTGTTTTTGTGATTTTGGTAAAAAAAAATTAAAAAAAATGCTGTGGCAACACTGGTAACCACTACTCAGTATTGTACCTACTCTCATTGTGCGCTAAAAGGCACCAAAAAAAAAACATTAAAACAGCTGTGGACACTCAATTTAGTC